TCTACTATTAATACTTTTGTTGTTGTATTTCTTACCTACTCCTGCATCCTGCTACATTCCTTCGCGCGCGACGCCCCTCTCCCCGCGACGCGATCAATTCGTTCCTAACGCACCACACCCGGTTTCACCTCTTTAGTGTAACGGACGTGTACAGCTGGCACAAGAATTTCAAACTGTAGCAATAGACACATCATGCAAATCCACCCCAGTGACTTCTTAGTCATCGTTTCTCGGTGAACGGTTGAAATGCCGGCTTCATAGGCTAAACACTTCTTTCCTTTCCTCTTCGTGGTGAAAGTTATTGGCAAAAAAACATCATTAAGGGCATCGTTCCTTCAAGTTGGAAACAACGTCAAACAAAGCACGACACACGTTTAATCACCACTTCGTCCTGGAATGTTGCTGAAATTCTTCAAGAGTTTCACCACCTTGTTCTTTCTGTGAGAGGTTGTCTGGAGCTGAGACAGCATTATTGCGGCTGCTTATCATTGAACTCTTTATCTTGACTTTCTTTGCGCTTTTGGAGGTCACTGGAAACCGACACTTAAACCTGAGGGAGAAAGTCATGCGTTTGACTTCATATCGATGCCCTATGCTGACTAATTTGAAGTTCGGTTTGAACTCCATTGACGAACAAATGAGCCATGTTTAAGGAGAGTAGGCCTTTTTTTAACGAAAGCGCTTGTGCTTCGCCAATGAGGCCATACACAGTCGCGTAGTAGCAACATAGCCATTTACAACGACTGCACTTGAAGCTGCTCCCGTCAACGGATATCGTGACTCGCGGAGAGATCGTTGTACAGAAAATGAGGATACAGACGTAGCAGGAATCAAGGCATCATCAGGAGACGTTTAGACCGTAATTAGATCTTTTTTGCTCTCATAGATTCCCTTTTTAAGATGGCATCCATGCATTCCAGGTGTTTGAAGGGATATTTGGCTTGCACGATGGCTTGCCGAAGTTAGCCAATGCACAAATCAAATGATTATATATTCGCGGACTCACAGACTGGCCTGGTAAGAACCATCTGAGCGTGAAAGATTTAGTGAATCTGGGTGAACATCAGAAGAAATATGTTTGGTCGCTTAACCACAACGACGGCAGTGCCCAACTCGGCCTCTACCCTATGCCGACAGATAGGTACGCAAGTGAATCATCAATCGCTGTACAAGGATAAAGTTAAATTCTCTGCTCTCCCTTCCTCTCCCGTAAAAAAAAAATTATTCTGAAGCATGTGTGGAGCAAACCTCTTGATATATATGTTCGGTCATATTCTTCTTGTGGATATTCTTTTTCTCAACCTGTAGGAACTCTGCAATTGGCTTCAGAGTGATTCCCTGAAATTCTCAACGCTGTGCTGAATATGCCAATATTCTCGTCTGAACTGCTTAGTACCATACTGTCTACAACAAATAGAAAAAAAAACAAACAAAAAGTGAAGGGAATAGTGAGAGGGTACTTCCGAAAATTTCACCTGCAGGAAAACCGTGAAGTAGATGACAACAATACAACTGGTGATGAACATGTTCTTGGCCGGTATATTTGGCAGCGCCACCACAAGACCGTAAGCAATTGCACCACGAAGACCACCATAAGCCATTATGAATTGATCTACCTGAAGGAAACACTACTCAACGACTATACGCTGCTCGCAGTCGAATATGGAATTTGCGAGTCAGCTCCTAAAGTTTTTTTTGTAGTTTCATTGACAATTCGATACAATAACATTGTCTAGATAGTCCTTCTTTTGTAGGGAGACATTCCAATTTTTAAAAGGCTCGGGAGAATCTCCAATAAAAGAAAAAACATTGCACAGAAGGGTTTCTAACACAAGTTACTCCGACATTCTCCTAACTTATGAGGGCTGACTTCTTGAAACAAATTGGACTGAAATAAATCGGACTGTTTCCAGAAATGGATTCTGTCTAATCTGGCTTTCCCTCCCACTCGAGACTATTCTACTTCTCGCACGTCTTGAGGCATCTTCCGAAAGTAGTTAAGAAAAAAAATCAAAATTCTGCAATAAAGTGGCTAATTCCATGAGCAACTTCTACAGAGAAGCGCTAAATCTACAGTATTCGCTCAGGATAGTCGTCTTTATAAATGTCTGTGGAGGAGTGATCCACTTTTGAATATTTGAAAATGCAGAACTAGGCTGAAAGGAATCGCATAATCGTACAGCAGCGATAACGAACCTTTGAAAACTTATTTAGACGATATTTGTTGAGCACGAAACACATGACAACGACTCCAAGAGTTCGGTAAATAAGGCAGAAGACGGTAGTTAGTACGATGAATGGTGTGTCCCAATGGTGGTCAGATGAAACCGTTGAAAGACCAAGGAATACGAAGATCACTGTCTCGGAGCACATTGAAAGCACCTGAAGTAAAGGAATTTTCAACTAGGATCTATAATCCTGCGATGCCGATAAAGTCTCGCATGGCTTTGAGCAAAGCCGCTCATCAACACCAGCTTTTCTCCTTCACGCCATCTTCAAATGTGTATCGGCACCACTATGGCCAGACCCCGTATATCACTACGTGAATGTTGGTGCAATGTAATGCAAGATCAATAGGGTTTGTTACATACGAATCCTCTAAGAATCAATTTCCTGTACAAGATTATGACGGTGAAGATAGTGTAAGAACTAAAATCCAGCCGCAGAGAAGGCGTACAATGCCTTCAACAGTTTCATTGCATCAAATATTTGTTTTTCACTATCGTCATAGCTCTGGCTGCATGCAATAATAATTTTTTGCTGCTGCGAAGATTATTTGCATCCTCTGTCACTAATTATTATTCCTTTCTAACAGTAAAAGGGACGCGCAAAAGGTGTACTAGGAAGAAATAAAATCACTGGTGAACGATCGGACGATCAGTGCTCACAGTGGAAAAATCAAATTAATCTGTAATCAGCATTTAAGTGAGTCCAACCCTTTTTGAACAATTCCCAACTGAGTTTCCCTCTTTTCATTCGAACCTAAATGTCTTCATCACTCAAAATGTTTAGTTTCTCTGCTGTGCCATGGAAAAACGTGTGTTGAACTAGAACCTTCAAATCATGGCTGCATGGCTTGAAAAACTGCTTCTCTTTCAGGAACTACTGTGAACAGTATGTAGCCGGTTTTGAGTTCTACATAGTGTTACAAGTATCATACTAGCTAGACAGATGATGAAGGATTGTTGAAAACAAAGCCGATATATTAAATAAGTCCCACTCGTCGTTTTGACAGAATAGCTATTCATCCCGAAGGGCAATGAGAAGGTAATCTAAAACTTCTACTTAGATCCCTTTCACATCCACGTCTACCTATCAATGTTAGGATGGATACATCGTCCCTTTAGTCCTTCCTTCCGAAATTCGACATGCCATCACGCCAATGAAGAATTGTTCGGCTCAACTTTGTGATAGGATCAAACTGAATTATCCAATGAGCCTTTCATCAGTTAGCGCTAAAACTCTGACTAGACCCTACGTCGTGGAAGGCTAGTAAGAATGAGTCGTCGTATGAGAGGGTAGACTCAGACGACATAAGCAACGATCACCCAATCTTTTCTGTTCTATAAACTTTTCACACAAGTCAGTTATATCATTGATTCGAAGGCTCTCGGCACTGTAGAAAGAGAAGCGGTAATTGAAGCCTTGGGCAACCATAGTGCTCCCACACAAGACAAAGAGTTTCGTGAACTCTATGGCAAATGCACGATCAGATTTCGCCATTCTACAGGGTGGCCTAAAATCATTGTTACAAAATTTCGACTGAGTGGTATTACACAATGAACTCGATGTACTGCGAATCCAATGTTATTATTAGAAAGTGGTATTACTTCATCATTAGCACTGAATTACATCGAAATCCGACCAGTTAGTCCAAGATGATACGAACTGATCTTTTGCGTGACGCCATTGTGCACTTACACGACGCTGGTGACACCTCATCCATCATCGCAAAGAAGCTCTCCGTCTGCCGTCAAATCTTATATAGGAATCTCAAGAGGTGCTATGAAATTGGTGCGATTTCCAACCGTCTTCGATCTGGAAGACCACGCACCGCAACGACTTCTGCGGGATGAAAAGCCGTCAAGAAGCGCATCGATAGGAACTCTCGTTGCAGCACGCGAAAAATGGCCAAGGAGTTGAAGATCTCGTGCCAACACATCGGAAGGTAGGTACACGACCACCTTTACTCTATCCTTACAAGATGCGCCATGTATTGAAACGGGTTTTTCAAACTCAATATCCCCTCAATTACAAGCTTGCAATCAAATGCATAGCCAATCCCACCGGAATACTGTCATAAGTCATAACAAAAACAAACATAACATAACTTATCGAGTGAAATGTTCAATTACGTAAATAAACTTGACCCCTTTGACATACTACGTCTCCAGAATCGACCCACCGAGTAGGCGAGTGAGCAAGCAGGCGGTCTTTGCCCCGTAATCGTTCACCACTTTTTAATTATCAATTATCTTCAAGCGAGAGCCTTCTGCTATTGTCATCCATTGACGATTACTTGTTGACTTCAATTATCCTTGAATCTTTCTGGTCGAATCTCCTTCGAATCTCAAAAGGTCCAACCTAGCATCCATTCAATGGCGACCATAGAAATAGGTGACTCTAACGACATTTTCGAATGTCGTTTTCAAAAATAGTATTTCCCAAAAAGGTTTTCGATTCAAGTTTTCTTTTTCAAACTCAGTTTCAATGCTGTGGATTATTCGTTGTTGGGAATCTTGATTGTACTGTTTTGCATGGGTATTTTTTATTCAAATACTCGATTGATTTGCCTTCAATTCCTTGGCTTGATGTTTATTGATTTTTTGCTGGATTCCTGTGGATCGTCATGTCACAGACATTTCATTTTCTCTGTTGCCTGTCACCTGTTGGACGTCAATCTTTTGAACACAAAAAAACTTTCGAGCCAAATTGCCAGCCCACGTCCTATACAAAGATACTCTGACTCCGACTGACTTTTATAGGCAAGGAAAGCCGAGCCGACTTCACAATTTCTAAGCTAGCGCTCGATGTAGTTGCCGTGTTCAGAGGCCAAAACGCACTTCGAAAAGACTCACACAGTACGCATAAGAAGTTGGATAGAGCGAGCCGGGCTCTCAGGGGGTGAAGAACTCACATCGTGGTCTCACATTCATGACAGGAACCGGATCATTCTAACGTGACGTCCTAATTACTTGTATTTTCGAATCGATTAGCCGAAGCAGACAATTTACAACTTTTCCATTCGAACATAATTGTAAGGTCGATGGTATTCGTCTGCCGTTCGAGGTTTTCAGAATGAAATATTCACTAAATAAACGTCCTAACGCTTCGATATAGTTGCCGTGTTCAGAGGCCATAACGCACTTCGAAAAGACTCACACAGTACGCAGTCCAACAAATGTCTAGCAAATCAACAACGTGTTTGAAACAAATTAGAGAAATACCTACACGATGAAAATCTCGCCAGGATTCCTCCGTAAAATTAAAATTGATCTTAGGGAAGAGTGCGTGGCGGTTACCAGAGAGCTGGCATCCTTTGCAGCACTATGTGGGTTTTGACCTTCGCTGTCGATTCCCTCTCGGGGGCGGGGCCACGGGAGGTCCTCTCGGGGGCGAGGCCACGAAGCTTTTACAGTAATTGATAGGAGTTGGTTGGAAAAGGGTCAACGGCGCGCTCGGCCTTGTGTGGCTTTTAAGGAGACTTGGTCTACGTGATCAGCCCCTCGGAGTTCCCCGAAGCAAGTTGAAACCGCAGTCCCAGCTTGGACTGGTTGGTGGACTACCAAGGTCGACTGTCCTCAAAGTTTAGTTAACAACGTCCGACTTCCTAGTAGTCCATGCCCTAGGAACTCTCTCTGTAAATTGAAATAGTGCTTGATCGAATGGTTTTTCGAATGCCTTTTGTCTTTCCATCCTCCGAGGAAGGTAAAGGCACCGAAACGTCAGCCTAATAAACTAATTGTTGCAATCTCGGTTCCACAGCCTAAAAGACAATCTCAAACTGTAAGGTGTGAAAATGATCTTCCAATGGACTATCCGAGGTCCACTACCGGCTAGCTGGCTTTTTGACCGTGGAATTTCCTTGAAGAAAACGACAAGCATATGAAAGTTTCAGACGAAGCCTTCGCTCTCGCTCCTATCTTGAGAGCTACGAGGCCCAAGCCTTCAATCTCAAAAGCGACTCGTGTCCACAGCGGGGCTAAGTCGCCAACAACATATTTGTAGCAGTTTGTCGTTCATGAGTAGTCTTCATCAAAACGTTGTAAAATTCTTCGCGCTTTTCAGCTGCCGCGGCAGAGGTAGGTATACACGCATTGGTAGTAAAAATCGCAGTTTAGTTTTTTTTGTAGACGTATATTGAAGAGCATGCGAATTTACTAGATCAGCAAATGTGAAATTGGTCAGAAATTAAACGCCACTGTGTATGCCGTTTAGCTTGGGTCCTATGTGAACACCTCTTTTGCTCGGTTTTCTGATGATCTCCATTTCGTTACTCGCTCCTTGCCATGCAAAATATCGTATTCGACCATTCGACTACTTAGATGGGGCGTTCGAAGACTAACTTTTGATGCTATGGAGCGGCAAATAAGCGAGCAGACGAGAAGACAGTCCCTGTGTTACAAAGATGGACCTTCACAGTGGTGGCAACTCCCGGCACCGTAGGGATCACATCTGATCGCGCAGGACTGGGGTACTAGTATGACTGTTTCAGTAATTTGTTTAGTTTTAACGCTTTGGCCCAGGAAAGCAGGAGCTTTTCAGTCAGACACACGCACACTCCGATACACTTTCAACTTGACTTCGAATCTTTAGAGAAATTGCACTCTTTTCACACACGTTACGCTTTTCACTCTATCCGCCTCCCCTTCTTCCCCTCTCTCATCCAAAGGTGGAGTTCAGCTCAACACTCCCTCCATCCATAGTCAGTGTTCCCATCCTGCCTACACCATTCCTACCAACTTTTAACACTCTAGCTCCGAATGGACAATTTTCATGCACATCCCGCCCTATAAGAGCAAAAAGGGTCTTGCCACCTGCATTGCTCTCAAAAGCCACTCGTACTCCTTCTAAAATCGAACGTTTCACGTGTACTGAAGCAAAGGCTATGATTAGACGTCAGACATTGACGTCGTGCATACTCCGCCTCTATGGGAGTGATCTAGTCCCTCACCCAAATAAGTGTTGCCATCCTGCCGCCTGTACTCCTACCAAGTTTGAATGTTACCACAGAACCATAAATCACTCAGACATTGATTTCGCACGCCTCACCCTCTGCAAGCGGTGCCCAGTTCCGTCACCCAACATAGGTGTGACTATCCTGTCGCCTGTACTCATTTCAAAATTGATTTCAGAATTTATGAATTTGCAGTCGAACACACACCGTCTCACAAATTTACACAGAGAACCAACAGACACACTTCGCGCGTTGTATATAGAAGGATTGTATTTTGTACATGTATTATGAGAGACTCGTGCACTTTTATTCTCCCACATCGATCCAATGGCAACTTGCTCACGTTCATACTCCTCTCTGTATTCGCTCACCCAAATAATGTCCAGAGCTACTGTGACTCCAAATCCCGATTTCTCACTCTCAGTTTTCACACTTTCACTGCATACTGTTTCGCAGGGATTGAGTGTGAGCATGTGTTGCTCTCTACCTAGCACCACTATAAAATGCCACTTACTCTGCGATCTACCTACCTTGATAAAATAGTTGATCGAGAGAAGCGCTTGTTCGGGAACATTCACCTTCACGTACTGCTTCATGGCTGCACCACAAAATACGATGCTGAAAAATCGTACTGTACCTATGCTAAAAATGGGGTTTTCAACTCACGCCATAATGCTGGACAGGCCGAACATCTCTGAAACTAAGTAGGCAAGGAAGGGTAGAACAATCACAAATACCGGATTGAGAACGGTCACCTCTGCGTGATGCGTATACCTGAATAGAACTGAATATAGAATAGAATAGTGAATCGTTTCGTAATTTTTAAGAAGGTGATTCTGTATAGGAATCTGTTGCAGTGTTACAACAGTTGATCGTTAGTGTAGGTACGCCCAAAAGTTTCAAAAATTGAACGCAGACTGGCAATGAATTTGAAATATTTAAGATCTTGAAAAATTCGAAAAGATGCTACTGACATCTTTGCTTTCATAAGAAAACCCCTCTACAAAACATGAAACCTACTCACTTCGTTATAAAACTAGCACAAAGAGCGACCAAAAGTCCGATTCCTATTCCACCGAAGCACACAACTAAATACGAAATTGCACCATTAACATAGTCCATTGTGATGAGATTCTCCGGTCCAATCTCGGTGAACGAGGCGAACATACGGTAGAATACCTTAACTACTGTATCTCAAGAGAAACACTCGAAGTACTGCATTTGAAGAGAAGCACCTAAATTACTGCATCTGAAGTGAAGCACCTAAATTACTGAATCTGAAGAGAAACAACTGACTAACTACAAAGATGCCGTATATATAAAGTGAAATGGCTTAGCCAGGCCATCTGCATACCTACATATCGTTCTCAAAGTATTGACTGTACGAGGTCACCGTAACATTCCAGCCATGACAGCTTCAACACGTATAGCATTTCATATACATTTTCTTTCTTGCCTCCCACAGTTATGCCAGTTTTATGCCTTAACACTCTCTTTCTCAATAAAGGGACCTCATAATGAGCGAAAAGTAGTGCGCGCAATTCACAGAAAGCAATCCCCGGGCGATGTGTAGGTGTATGTAGATCCTCAGACACAGGAGCCAGCTGTGAAGTAACTAGGAGCGCATCGAAACCCCGGTAACATGAATTGAAGGATACATGCGAATTTTCACCAAACCAGATTCATTTGAGAGGTATTTAGCAAATTTCGTGAGAAACATAATTATAAAAGAGACCCACAACTGCCACACCATCGTTCAGTAGCGATTCGCCAAAAACACTGATGAATAGAACTTCATTGACCTGAAACGACCACCGATTGCCTTGATTGTCATCAACTAGATCACCACTAACATGGATCCTACAAGTAAAACACGTGGATGTTACTTTAGGTGGAGACAAGGTAGGAACATGGGGAGGGTGGCTGTTCCTGTTGCTTTGCTCAACAAGATCCCTATAGCAAGATTTTGCTCTCTATGTTACTTCTCACTTTCCTTTGATAATAATTTAAACAGGTAAATAGATTGATTAAGTGGTAGAACCCATGGGGATCGATGGTCAACAAAAAGATTGTTACCGAACTTCATATTTTCGCAACAGAGATTCTTATCGCCCTTCAGAAACGGCTCCAGTGCATCCTCTATGCGTCCTGCCCACCTTTCAGAATTGACCAGCCAGGACTTAAGGATTTCTGGTATACAGCATTTATAACTGCTTAGATAAACCCGTGAGCTTCACCAGTGAAAATGGTCTATAAGATACTAGACTCCTGTTTACGGCCGCTCCTGATCCAGTGACGATGACAGAT